ACAAACATTTCCATTTTCAGGCTCCCTCTTCTCTGCATCTGTGCAGGTGAAGACCAATGTGCGTCTAATCCCCCTTCATCCTGTCCCCTTCCTCTTCCTGCTCCCTTGATCTGTATACGAATTTCATAAGGCACCCTCCTAATTTAAAATCTGGTAGTCATATTTGCAGAACCTATTTACTTAAAGTAGTTCTTTTAGAGAAATATTTGAGGAAGGTTTTGTTCCTGATGAATTTATTAAGATTGCTGGGGGGAAAGGAAAGCTTGGGAACAGAAGGAGTAGTTTATGCTAAAGTCCAAAGACACTAGCCCCTTCTTCCAGACTTACCATAAAAATTTTCACCTTTAGAACAAGATCTGAATTCTCCAGTTAAAATGCTCTTTTCCTATGTTTTCAGTGGACTACATATAAATCACTAAAAAAAATACCAACAAATTTATCAAAAAAAGAAAGTCAGGTTGACAATATTTCCTGGAGGAGTTACAAAGTTATTCCTCTAAATCGCAACTTCCTCTATCTGGTATACAATTTGAGAGAGAAAAAGAGAAAGATAAAAAGGAGAGAGAAGAAAAAAAAGAAGGGAAGGAGAGGAAGAAGGGAGAGTGGAAAGAAGGGAGAAAAAAAGAACTTTTCTAGAACACATCCATTGCCAAAAATGAAGAATACCTGGAAAGACGTCTTGACATTTTAGCTAGAACTCTAAGGAGTGCCTTCTCAATGGAAAAGCACCTGCCAGCTAACTATAGTGATTGTCTATGTCCTGTTCATAACAAACACACAAACTAAAATATGCATTTTCCAGTCTGAGAAGAAAATGTGAGCCTCAAACAGCAAACACTTTAATCAACAACTCTTACCTGGGTGAGCACAAAAGATTGAGTATAGGGTTTGACACCGGTGGGGATTAGATTAAAGGGGATTAGACACTGGTGACTCGATGCACACAACCGAAATTGCTGTTACTGTTCACTTCTCTAAGGAAGTGCTGGCTGCCTGGATGAGAGAGCTCTTCATGGTCCTCTGTTGGCTTTTGTCCATTTTCCCCTGCAGAATGGAAAGATCACATACCACCAGTGATACTGAGAAAAAAGCAAACGACACAACCAAAGAGAAAAAGATGCTTTCATACTCCCCTGGTCGGGGCCTGTAGCTCTGCCTGGGGATCACCTACTCTCTGGCCCTTTCCCCTGGATTCCCAGGGCAGAATAAGGCAGTGAGCACCTGTGTGACCTTGGACAAGTTACCTCTTTGTATAACATGGGGACAATGATACTCAGAGTATCTGCTTTCTAGTATTATTATGGTCCTTGGCACATAGTAAATGTGCCCCAAACTGCTAGGTGATAATAAGTTGAACTGGTACACATGTTCCAATCAATTGTACCCTATAGAACAGTTTTGGGCCGGTGTCCTCAAACTATGGCCCACGGGCCATACGCAGCCTGCCTAGGACATTTATCCAGCCCATTGGGTGTTTTTGCCGCTGCTGCCTGTCCTGCTTAGCAGCCGACTCGTCCCAGGGCCCATAGTCCAGCCCTCCAACGGTCTGAGGGACAGTGAATTGTCTCCCTGTTTAAAAAGTTTGAGGACTCCTGGTTTGGGGTTTGTTTGTTTGTTTGTTTGAGCAGAGGGGGTCAGTATGGGATTAGGGGTGTTCTAAATTCCCAATCCTCAAGAAACTCACAGCCTACTGCAGAGATTCTCAATCTTAAAAGTGTGTCAGAATCTCCTGAAGAACTTTTATGAAAATACCCATGCTGGGCACCTCCTGTAGAGATTGGTCTGGAGTGGGGCCTGAGCATTAGTACTCTTCAAAGCTCCCAGGTAATGACTGTGTAATTCTAATGCCATTGAGGACTGCTGACCCAGGGATCTGCCCTGGCACGGGGTGCACAGTCACTGCCTGTGTGGTCTGCTGGAGCTCCTGGGATGAAGGGAGGTGCACCATTACCCATCACATCAACCCTCACCAGCCACCTCATCACAAATCCCTCACGTGCTGGTGACCAAGCAAAGAGTTCGGGACCCAAATGGTGGGGCTTGGAATCCATAAGCAGATTTGTCTTCAACTTTGGTTGTAACAAAAGTGAAAGGGCCCCATGACAGGAAGTAAAACAGCTCCTGTCCAGAAAAGACAGGTGAAGCCAGGAACCATCCTAGCGCCTGCCTTAGAAGGTGGCTCCATCTTGAGCCATGCTGGACCAGAAACCAGCACTTCAATTAATTTTTGTCTTTTTTTGTTGTTGTTAATTTCCTTGTTTTCTTTTTTGCTGTTCATTAATTTTAGAAATGATTGGAGCTCCAATTTTTTCCTGAGGAAATTCAGGTCTGAATTATTTGCTGGCACTCTGGTGGGAAATATTATGAAGGGCGCAGCTCCCACTCAAGGCCAGGTATTGGTAGAACCTGAGATTCCAGGGAGATGCTCACAGGATAGAGAACTTAGTAGGCTGGAGTGGGTATAGTCTCGTCAGTCTCCCTCCCTTCACAGAAGGGAGAGGCCTGACTCTGCCTGAGGGACTTGAGGTTTCAGAGAGGGGCCTTTAAGCCCAGCCTTCAAAGCGACTCTCAGTGTAGGTATTCCAGAAATGGGCAGTCAGCTCACATGCTTGGTATGAACCAAGAGGTAGCGGCAATCATGCCTTCCAAGAGCAACTCTGGATAATCCAATGGGTTTTTGATTTTGGAATAATTTTTGTTTGTTTTTTAGGTGTTTTATTTGTGTGTGTGTGGGGCAAAATATTCACCATTTTAAAGTATACAAGGAATCCTCTGCTTTAGACCAGAACTACCAAGTCCCAAGTCATCCAGAATAAGGAGAAGTAGATGTGTTCTAACAACTTTTATTCATTTCTGCCCTTTTTGCTTAAGACAAGCCAGAGTCACCTGGGTTTTTGATGACCACGAGAGCCTTCACTAACCAGCACAGAGGGGGTCAGTATGGGATTAGAGGGTGTTCTAAATCCCCCGTCCTCAAGAAACTCATAGCCTACTGCAGAGATTCTCAATTTCTGCAATAGGAATCCATAGTCTGAAGAATCTAGGCATCCATGACTCAAGAAGAGGGCATTAAGGGAGGGTGGTATGAAGAGATACCAGGGAAGGCCTAGAAGCATATTCCAAACTACTGCATGGGAACTCCTATTACTTAGGAAACCTGTTTTCCAAAATAGCATTTTTGTCCTTATTTTCTCTCTGTCCCCCCACATCAGTGTCCACATATCAGCTGGTTCAGGGCTTTATGTAACTTGATATTACCCATGTTGAAATTCAGTGCAATTTGGCATTTGGTGATTACATGGGCTATGTTCTGCATAAGCCCCTAATAAATGCCTAGATGACTGTTTTGGCAACCAGAGATTGAGTGACCCAGAATCCATCCTTTAATCTCCCAGGCAGAACATTCTAAGGTAGAAGCCTGCAGAATGGGCAATTACTAAGTTTCCTCCACATTCCTGTGTGATGAAGGCGGGGAGCCCTAGGACAAGATGACTTCTACACTAAGGCATGAGTAATGTCAAGCCAGACTTTCAGGAGTCTGACTACAGTGAAAACCTAGCTGATCCTTCCACACTCCTTTATTGTTTAAAAACACTTGTAATTATTTTAATGCTGCTGGTATGAGGACTACACAATACACCACTGGATCCTGCTGGGAGACATCCAGGGAAGCGTTCAAACTTTGTTTGGTTTCAAAGTGCTTTCTTTATATAGCTGCCATTCACTAACCATGCCACCTTAAGCAAGGTACCTAAATTCTTGGTGCCTCAGTTTCCCTATCTGTAAAATGGACTGGATGTTAATACTTTATCTTATAGAGCTGTTGTGAGAATTAAATATTAACTAATTTACTACATGTGGAGTATTTGGATCAGTTCTTAGAGCTTAGGAGGCATATAATGAGAAAGAATTATTATTATTCTGGGCCTGGGGTAGAAAAGAAAAAGATGAAAATACTAAGAGATGACACCCTACAATATGGCCAACTACTTGCCACAGGTCTGAATTCTAGAGTTGCCTCATTACCTCATTCAACATTCACTTATAAAAAATATTTACTGAGGCCGGGTGCAGTGGCTCACACCTGTATCCTGGCACTCTGGGAGGCTGAGGTGGGTGGATAGCTTGAGCTCACAAGTTCAAGATCAGCCTGAACAAGGGCAAGACCCCATCTCTACTAAAATAGAAAAACTGAGGCAAGAGGATCACTTGAGCACAGGAGTTGGAGCTTGCTGTGAGCTATAACACCATGCATGTGTTATAACACCAGGGCGACATCTTGAGACTCTGTCTCAAACAATACATATATCTATTTACTGACCAGCAACCTTGGTAGAGTATCAGTGATGCAGGGATAGCAGCAGGTGGGGATGGGAAGGCAGCAGGTTCTTGTTCAGGACACATGCCTAGTACGTATGTCTAAAAAGCCAAGTGGAATTCTACTTCAGTGCACTGAATGCTGCTTATGAAGTAGAGAGCAATGAAGACAGAGTCCCTGACCCCATAAAGGTTCTCACAGAAGACAGATTTTAAATGACGGACCCAACTAAAACACATAACAATAAGTTGTATCATACTTTCTGAAAGAAAAGTGCAGGGTGCTAAAGGGTATATGTCGAAGGGGGAGGGAGTATCATGGGAAGTCATGAGAACTGAAGGAAACAGATAGAAGTTACCTAGGCAGAGTCAGGAGGAAGCATTCCAGATGAGGCAAACAAGTACACAGGCCCCAAGGCAGGAAAGAAGTCCACAGAGCTGAAAGAAGGCCAGGGGGTCCCTTAGATAAGGAGTGGAGTGAGGCCAGGTGGAGGGCAGAAAAGGAGATAAGAGAGCTAGCAGACACACATCCTGTCACTATCATACCAAGTGGAAGGGCTCACAGTTCTTGGGTCCCCTCCATGTCTCCTGCCCATCACACTTTCTAGTGCATACTGATCTCAGGAAACTGAAATTCTTTTAGCAAATCAAGATAAGAAGAAGCATTTAAGCTGCTTACTTCTAAAAGACAGCAGCTTAAAAATATCTCTCTCCCTGCAGTGGATATTTCTTCAGAGGGTAGCGTGGCTTGTCAAGCATATAATTTGCTTCAGCAGTTGAATCTTTCTGTAACAAAACAAATCCAGCAATTACATCATCCATAATGTAGAAGTCAGTAATACTCGATGTGTGGTTTTGCCTCTAAGAGGTCCGTGCATCCCATTTTGCTGTACATGGAGTTCGCTTATGTACGTACATGCAATATAGATATTTTCTTTCTTTCCTTTCTTCTTCTTTTTTCTAAGAAATTCCTTACTTGAAAAGATTTGGAATTAAAGCAAACCCAAGGTCTTTGCAGAAAGGAAATAAAGTACTCCCCATGGTTAGGATAATCAATATTCATTTATAAGTGTCATTCTATAAATATACCATATGTCAGTATGTAATATGTCAAGATGTAGGCCAGGCATGCTAGCTCACACTTGTAACACAGCATTTTGGGAGACTGAGGTGAAAGGATAGCTTGAGGCCAGGAGTTCAAGACCAGCCCAGGGAACATAGTGAGACTCTATTACCATAAAAAATTTAAAAGTTAGCCAGGTGTGCCACTAAGGGGGCTCATGTCTATAATCACTCTAGGAGGCCGAGGCAGGAGGAGTGCTCTGGTCAGGAATTTGAGATAAGCCCGAGCAAGAGCAAGACGCTATCTCTTTAAAAAATAGAAAAAATTGGGCATCATGGCACATGCCTAAAGGCCCCGCTACTGGGAAGGCTGGCATGGGAGGATCATTTTATCCCAGGAGTTCAAGGTTGCAGTGAGAGACAACTGCACCTTGCACTCCAGCTTGGGCAGCAGAGCAAGATGTCAGTCTTAAAAAAAATAAATTAATTAATTAAATTAATAAGTCAGTCAAGATGACTAGTTCAACTAAATGACATGGCTACATTCAGCCACCGGGGGCGCTCTTAACCTTTTATTTGAAATCTGAACTGATGAAAGGTCTCTTAGCTATATACCTGCAGCAGACACAAAGTACCAAGTATGTCTACTAGTGGATCAGAAACACTGCCCACATCTTCAGAAAAGCCAAACATATAAAGCCATCTTATAAAATTTTAGAAAAACTTTCTTCCATGCTATGGCTTTACACAGCTCACACAAACTCTATTCTTCCCTGGATTGGGATTCATATGCCTAGGGAAAAGAATGAGCTTAAGGCCAGTTAAACTGTCTTCTTGTCCTTTGAAAGGACCTCCACTTGATGAATGTTGTGCCCCAAATTAACTGCTGCTCATCATCTCGGACCTAAGCTCTACTGTCCCTTCCTTGGGGAGCCTGCCCTGCCTGACTCCCAACCAAGTCGAATTCCCTCCGCCATACACTCTTCGGACACCAGGTACTCTCCTCAGTAAGCATTACAATTTTGCATTTATTTCTGTGGTTACTTGATTAAGGTCTATCTCCCTTACTGGACTATAAGTCCCAGTTCCCATATTGTTTTGCCAGCAGAGATTTAGTGTTCCCAGAAACCCTGACCTTGTTGTACTGCTGAGCTCTGTGGGATGTCAGAAGATTGCATACCCGCTCATGGATCTTCTTCCATGTGGACTGAGAAATAGGATGGAACCTGTGTAACAGATTAAACGGGGTAGAACCCTTACAGAAAGTATGTAACAGTCTCGATTGGTATTTAAAACTTAATGATAAGAAAAAACAGCAACATGCAAAATGATATACATAGTGTGAGTTCAATGCCTTTATTAAATCTACATATAGGAAAAGGCCTGGCAAATAAAAACAACCAAGATGTTAAGAATGGTTTGTGTTTAGGTGTGGCTGTGAGTGATTCTTTCCTCCTTTATACCTTCCTGGGGTCTTAAGATATTTCTCTCATGAGTAAACCTTACTTTAACATTTAAACATTTGATCCAATAGTTTTCATATAAAATTTAAACCCAGTTGTTTGCTATAATTTATTTTATATCTCACTTAATACAGGCTACCAAGACTCCAAATTTAACCACAGATCTGAAAGTCTCTTTTGGTTCCTGAAACATGGGGCATTGTCTCTTCCATGGCCATCTGCCATAGCTCCTCTCCTCCTTCCAACCCCCATCCCTCCTCTTATTAACTCCTACCCACCCTTCAGAGCTTGGTCCAATGCTGACTTCTCAGGAGAGTTCTTTCCAAGCCCCTCTTGTGTAGACAGCCTTCCCCTTGAAGAATAAAACACACTTGAAGTTTCATTCACCTATGCCTCATTCATACCCTTTCTGCTAGTGGACATTCTGTCAGTCTTTGGTTAATGTCTACTTTATTCCTAGACTAAAACTGGGACTGAAGGGCCGTGCCTGTGGCTCAAAAGGGTAGGAGACTGGCCCCATATGACGGAGGTGGCAGGTTCAAACCCAGCCCCAGGCAAAAAAAAAACAACAAAAACTGGGACTGAAACTCTTTGATTAATAGCTCATCCCAGGACCTAGTAGGTATTGAATATCATAGTAAGTATTTAATAAATATTTCTTCAACAATTTAATTCATTCATTCACTCATTTATTCATTCATGTTTGGGAGGGAGATGGACACCAAATGCTAAAGTCTGAGGTACAACCAAGCTAAAAGTATCTATCAGGAAAGATTTTTAAAATGCCATGGGGAAAAAAGCTAACAGTGTATATAGTAATTCGATAATGGAGAGAGGCACCGATACTGTTTTCTAAAAACAACTAAAGAATTTTAGCCATTGGGATGAAATCATTGTCTTCAGTTCACGTATATGAACACTGGAAATGAGAGGAAGGTGTGAAAATCCAGTTGCTTCTGTGCCCCTCTGCTTGGTTCCAGACCGAGTCTGGGCCCCTCATTGCAGCTCTCTGTGGCAGGTCTGCCCGCTCATTTCCAGGGAGACAAGAAGAAGAGTGTGAATGGGCCTATACAGATCCATTACCAACCTGGGAAGACACCTCGAGCAAAGGAAAGCACTGCCTGAAGCACTCTGAATGTTCAAGAAAAGTCCATGTACATCATTTCTATGCTTCCTGAAGAATTTTTAAGAGAAAGGAATAGAAATATTTTGAAGCTATAAATAAAGCTAGCATTTACAAATAGCCACGAGCTGGACATTGTAAATGCTTTTTCACGGGTCTTGCATAACTAGTGCTGAAATGATTCCAACACTTGTTACCCTTGCTGCTATGTCAATCTGTCCTGCATTTGAAGGTCTCTGAGGACGGGGGGTCAACAGACAGAAGCAGTGCTGCACCTGTGTTACAGCTTTCTCTGCCGGACCATCTTCCCCTCACACAGTGGGAAAAGGACACATACGTGTTGAAGGGCTGTGACGCCGCCCAGATGCTGGACATAGGGAACAGGCTTGCGAGGGTTCCTTCCTCCTTTGGGACTGCTATTTTTCACCCTGATAGTTAAAGAGATTTCCACTTCTTCCAATACAATCTTGGGCTGAAAAACTTGTTTCCAAAATTTGTCTCCCAACTCATCCCCTTACTGACTTCAGCATTAAGCATTAAGCAAGGAGAAACTCAAGAGGTGTTATTCATGTACCCTCCTGGTACGGGCACAGAGACTGGTCCTGATGGTGCTGAAGTGAAAAGAACAAGTGAGTGAGGTAGCCTTCAGTTCTCTGGAGCGCCTTTGTGATCACTCAAGTCAATGGGGGAATGGATTCTTCCCTGAGGATATGAAGTATATATCCTGCATTCAAAGCTGTCTTAAGCTTAGGGGCCACTTCTCTGGAATTAAGGTGAGTGACTAGCTTGGTTTACTTGGAACGTGAGTGTTTCCCAGGATGCAGGATTTTGAGGACTAAAACAAGGGCATCCAGAAAGTGGATGGCCTTTCTGGGGCTGTGCTACTCTGTGTCACTGTAGCATCCTTTTTACAGACTCATAGTTCAACTGGATCCAATTGTGTAAAAAATCACAACGTTTTTTACAGACTCATAGTTCAGTTGGGTCCAAAGTTATCAGTTCAGGGTGACCCTGGGCATATGGAATTTGCTGTCTCATCAGAGATGGCTAAAACTCTGTTCTGCAGTCAGACTCCTCTACCTAAAGTCACTTGTGCCAACTCCTGTGACTAAGTCGCAAAGCTCCCCACTCCTTTCCAAGCAAAGCCCAAACTCTTTAGCTTGGCTGGCTTCCACATCTCTCTCAAACCCTTGGGCCCTGGCACCCACTATTCTCCCAAACTCATCTGACTGCTGGAGCCCTGCAGTGCCCTGCCTCCCACTTCCCACCCTAAATACCTATGACTCTGTCATGAACCAATCCCCTCCCCTCAGGGCCATGTGAAAAGGGCATCTCTACAAAACATTCCAGAAGTACCATCCTCCTTCTTTATGCTCCAGTAGCATTGGGTCTGCACTGTTCACAAAGTACTGCCTTATAGAAAGTTCTACATGTACTTTTTCTTTTCAACATTATCCGGTAGGTTGCAAGTTTTTATAGGTCAGGAAAAATGTCTTCAGTGTTAGCCTTTTCATGATGAGTATCAATCCTGTTTCTGACGCATTCTTATAACTAGACCAACTATTAATCCTGTTTCTGACACACTCTTATAACTACAAATATTCTGTATTTCTCACACCCACAAACACACACACACTTGATTCCATTCTCAATTGATTTCCACTCAGTAAACATGAGACAATTCTGATGTTGGCCAGAGTTGAGAAGCCCTAGACTGTTGCCTAAAGGTGCTCAGGAAAGGCTGGCTGACTGAATGCATTATCATCCTACAAACTTATTGAAAGAGAAACGAAGCCTTCCCAGATCTCCATCCTGATAGAAATAATCTCTTACTGCTCTCTTTTTCCTCTACATTGGGATTGCATATCTACTAAGTACATAGCACAACCTATCGCATATTTACTGACACGGAAGTAGGCCTGCCTTCCCATCTAGTGTGTGAGCCACTGGAAAGCACAGACATGCTGTGATCATGTACATTGCACATGATACTTGCCAATAACTGTACACTCAACTCAGTCTCTCAGAAAAGCTTGCTGCATTGATTGTAAGGAGTTTAGGACATGTTTATGAACAAAGCACATGGACAGAATCCATTGGCCTTCCCCACTTTTGGCATCAGAGCAGCACTTTGTGGCTGTTAGAGGATGGATCTTTGATCATCACACTTATTTCAAAGGTGAGGAAACTGAGGTATGAGAGATCAAGTATTACTGTGAGATCACATAGCACTTAGGGACAGATAAATACTAGAGCCCATGTCGCCTGACCACCATGGGCTGATTTTAAACTCTCTTTAAAACCAGTTCTCTGTAAGTCTTGAATCCAAAGTAACTTCCCCTTTTGTGAGTCCCTTTGTAAGCACTCGTTTTATTTGGCACAGAAATGTCTTATTCTCACCACAAATAACAGAGACAAAATAGCAGGTTGGTATACACTTCATTCAAATTGTCCTAAATCTGGTATATTATTATCAGTGCAACTTCACACAATTGTCCTAGTTTGCCTGAGACTCAGCCCACAATGTAGGACTTTCAGGGTTAAAACCGGCAAAACTCAGGTAAACTAGATGGTTACTAATTAGAGAGTACAAGCAAATAAAGTTTTCTGCTCTCACTCTCTGGCCCTGCCTCCAGACACGTGCAAATGTATATTTATTATTTGTCACGATAATGTAAACAAGTCAAGAAATTAAGTCTAGAAAAAGACACAAAGAAAAGAAACCTATATGTTAACGACATTTACCTTTGGGGGGGGCGGGTAAGACCATAGGTGATTTTTTCCACCCCTTTTTGTAATTTCCAGACTTTCTATAGTGAAAACTTTTATATCAGTGAAATCAAAAGCTTTGGTTTTTAAATTTATGACACAAAAAAATGGGTAGATAAACAGTATCCATGCCAAAGTTGTCTATCTCATTTATAACAAGCATCCTGAGATGCTTTCCAAAGGCAAGAGAAAAGCCTTAAACTCCTTGAGTCCAGGAGTTTTAGGCTGCAATGAGTCATGATGATGCCCCCATACCCAGCGAGACCTTGTCACAAAAACAAACAAACCCACACACAAAAATTATGCCACCAGCTAAATATTCCTAAGAAAGCAAACTGATGAAATAAATAACCAGGCTTTACTTCTGCCGGGCCACAGTGCACCCTTCAAGCAAAGAACTGGGTACTTGTTACTGACCTTTCTTGGAGAAGCAGCTGATCTGTAGGGCTGGGAGATCTGGAATGCCGGGAGGTGGCAAATGAAGTTTCCCGGTGGAAACTGGTATCCCCTTGGTTACTGGATGAGAGCATTCCAGACTTACTTGAATCTAAAGGTGATGGTGATGGATTCCTTAAAACAATCCGTTCATCTGGCTCTCTGATAACCTGGGTGACAAGGCATATTATTCTTTAGCTGTAGTTTTGTGATTTATTTACTGAGTTTAGAGCTAGGGGTGGGGGAACAAACAAGAGAACTAGGGGTAAAATGATAAGACTGTCAACTCCAGAGACCCCCTGCAAATACAAGAGGGGCGGAGTAGGGAAGACCAGTGACAAAATGCTCAGGAGTCAAGGTCAGGAAAAATGACCAGAAGTCCATACGTTTGGCATATATTAATAGGCCAAAGTAAACTCATGCCCTGACCTTTGATTTCTAAGAACTAGGAATTATTTGGTCTAGGAAAAATAGAATTTTTAAACAAGAATCTTCAAATACTATGGCATAAGGAGCATAGTATACTCAATTTTCTTTGCAGACATGGAAGTTTGAGCTTCTCTTTGACAAACCAATTAAACTTCAAGAAAAGGGATTTACCACCTCTGTGTACAAAGGCATTTGATTAGAGAAATCACTATGGATAGTTATTGGGCCTAGATACACTCTCCTTGGTGATTACTCCTTCAAATTAAAAGAGCTTATATGAGGGACACAAACTACCCCCAAAACAAAGTGTACAGTGAAGCCTGGGTACCTCTTTACATAAACGCTAGTTACTCTATAGAAATTCCACATAAACAGCAATACCTAGAAATAGACTTTCCACCACTGATTGGAGAAAGCACAATAATTGACATAAGATAGCTGGAAATCATTTTACAAATTCTACTTCTAAAATTACCTTTACTTTAGCTCCAAGGCTGTCAAGAGAAGAAGCTAGAAGAAAGAATAGGTGTTTCAATGACTCATTATTACCAGTTAGCCCTAAAACTGCTGTTCATGCATTCCACAGCAGTACAAAAATTTTAGACAATGAATAAATTATTAAAGAACTTATATGCTCCCTTGTAAATTACACTATTAACTTTTAAGTCTCCCTTGAGTCACAACAACTCCTATCTGTGAGGTTTTTTGTCCTTTTGAGGTCAATGATGAAGTCATATTTTTAATAATAGCACATGTGAAAAGGGGAAGGGTAAAAGCAAGTCCAAAATGTGAATCAATAAGTTCAATAACCCTCAAGAAGCCTAAAAACTCATATTTGCCCAGGTGCCTAGAGCTTAAAGGAAAGCAACAGGGGTCTAAATTTATAAACTCTGCCTTTCTGCCACTCTCCTTGGTTTTCATAGAATTCTATTTATGCAGGATCTCTTGAGTACATTTGGCCAAAGTAGACATAAATATTAAATTGATACAACAAATGCATAAAAGCTTAGAAACATAATGGAACAAAAATGGAAATCCTTATGATTATCCTAGGGAATCATGGTAAGTAAATTGACCTAATGCCAGAGAATGGTAAGGAGGACTAGGAAATTAAGTAATAAATATACACAGAGAAAACATAGATTAGAGTGGGCTTTACCAAGCTGAAAAAAAAATGCTTTTGAAATGAGTCTTATAAGGCGATGCTAAGGCCATGATGGCTTCCCCCAGGACAACTGGAGTTTAAACAGTTACAAAGGACTTTTCTCCCACGACTTCAATACTAAGAAGAAACCTATATAAGCATATAAAAAGGCCTCTTTAAGCCTAGTCATTCTCATATCCTTTGGGCATACACATATGTGAGTGCCCTCTTGTTCCAGCTCAGTAGGCAGTCAGCAAAAACTAAAGCCCTTAGCAGTGAGAACCACAAACCTGCCCTGTGGCCTAGTAACCTCCTCGCTACCAGTTTTGAGCACTCCTATTCACAGAGACTTGTCTTCATTCCCTCACTTCTCAAAGTACAGTCTACAGACCAGCAGCATCGGTATCACCTGGAAGCTTGTTAGAAAAGGAGGATCGCAGATCCCACCCCAGTCTTACTGAATCAGAATCTGCAGTTTAACAAGATCCCCAGGTGATTCAAATGCACATTCAAATTTGAGAAAGCACTGCTGTATTCTACCTTAGGCCTGGATGAATGAGCTGACAGGTGACCTAAACCAAGGTCTGGCTTGAAAGCTATAGGGATTCCAGGATCTGAGCTCAGAGGTCTGAATGTCTTCTCTAAATGTAGGGATGCCAAAGACTTGATGTGTGACCTCTACACACACTGTAACCTCTTGGGAACCTTAGTTCTCCACCTGCCAGGATTAAGAAAAGACAAAGACCAAGACCAATATGATGTATGAGTCCCATCATAATAGAACCAATATTAAGCCCAACTTGTCCTCCCTGGAAAAGGACATTTGCTGCTGCTCAATTTCACCATAATGGGAAACAGAACTGCTGTTATAGGCTAGATTTTCAATTCAAAGAACTTAAATTAAATGTCAGAGGTGATGAAGCACTTTCTGCTTCAAACCTGATACTCTGTCCTTGGTCCACTACTATCAGACAGTCATCACAACCTAAGAACACTGACTTGAGTCACCATAAGAGATTTTGTAGCCCCTAAAAGTATAAACCTTAAAACCTAAAATAAGGAACTCTTACGTCAGGGACAGCACAAATCCTATTCTACCAGGAGACAAGAGTAGGCAATTGCCATCTCTTCTAGCTTAAGAATTTTGATGAAATTCAGAAATGATTGGCCTTCACTGCCATGACCTTCACTACTGTCATGATTCATGTATTTCAATTATTAAGGTAAAAGCCTCTAAGGGATTCCTTAACCCAGTGACTTTCAATGTGTGGCCCAGTGATCTTGCCAAAGGTCCCTAAGACCTTTCAGAAGATCTACAAGGTCAAAACCGTTTTCATAATAATACCAAGACATGATATGCCCTTTTCACTCTCATTCTCTAACAACTTTACAGAAGAGTTTTCTAAAAGTTACTATGACATGTCATGATGTCAGTCATTCTGGATGGCTAAACGTGTGCTAGTATATTCTTATATTTCAAAAATTTCTCACTTTTAATTTCTAACACACTAAATATTGATAAATATTACCCACATCAATGAAAGTTCCTTAGGGTCCTCAATTATATTAAAGAAGGCAAAAGAGTCCTGAAATCTAGAAGTTTGAGACCCCCCTGGTTTAACCTAACTGCTTTAGAGTTGGCTCCATTCCTCACTGACATGGAATTTTGTCAAGCCAATATTATGTCTTCTGATCATCATCAATCCTGTTCTTTCCCATCCAGAAAAATGGAAAGTCTTGTTAGCTATTAATGGTGCCTTTGCAAGGAGATCACACCAGGATAAGTTGCTCTCTGCTTTTCCAGCCCAGCCAAGGACCAACAACCAAAAACCACCACAACACGTTGGTTAGCAGTACTGCTCAGAACAGCCTCCTCCAACAACTAAGGGAAATAGCAAATGGACCACTTCTCAGCTGGCCCTGCCTCATGAGAACACCTCTCTGGAAATTCCACAGCCAGAGAGTGCTTGAAAATTCAGCCCACAGTTTCCAAAGTAACTTTTGATTACTCAGAAAGAAAGATGATAAATAGGATATATTTGTTCCCATAGGGAAATGGACAAGAGTTAACAAGAAACTCAAGTACCTCTTCTCAATGAAAACGGGAAGCTTGAAAACTTAGATTTTCTTCTAGACTTCCACAGATAAGACTCTTTAATGTTCTCACCAAAGGGCTTTGCACTGTCCACCTGAAAGTAAAGGAAAGAAATAAGACTGAAATCCACCATCACTTGTACTACCCTCCCTCTTGGTGGGGCACCCAAGGTCACAAGGACACTTGTGGCCTTCCAGATCCCTGAGTGCAGCCCTAGACCAAATCCAAAGTCAGATTCAATCGAACGGTTGCAGAAGACAATTCAAAGATGCAGAAGGCCACGTGCAGCCCCAAAACCACAGGCTCCCCACCCCGGGAGGCTCAAGCACAGAGAGCAAGTGTAGCTTTATTCCACAATCTTTACAAACAGGACAGAGTTTCAAATTTCTTAAAGCAGTGATCTCTAGGTGGGACTATCCTGATAGCAGGGATTGTCACAAGGTGAAATTTCAGTCTTTCATATTCTCTTTTGATATGACTATCTATGTTCTTGAAAAAAGAATAATGGTAACTATGTTATTTTATCTAAGGTGACTGACCTTACTTTCCAAAGAAAAATTGGGTAACATGATCTGCAAACAGGTCAAAGTATTTGAATTAGGGAGTTTTCCAGAATATCTACAACACAGAGTTCCTGAATTTTTTTACCTTGTTTATTTCTGTTTTTTTTTTTTATTTCAATAAGGCAGGTTACAACATTACTTTTCATTCTACTTCAAGAACTATAGTGACTTGAATTTACAGTCTTTACAATATCAGGCCCCCTAAATTTTAATGCTTCTATTTAAGGAAACATCACATACCATTGAGAAATCTGGCTAAATAAATGAACTAATATGTAAAATCACTTACAAAAAGGCTTGGCTTTCCTCTCCATAGTCTAGTCAAAAAAAACCAAAGCCTTTGCATATAGTAAAAGCCATATACAAATGTGTTCAGTAAAATAAGTATCAAGAATTTTTAATTCCTTAAGAAATCTGCCAAGATTCTAAGGTTATTTAAATTAATAATGCAAGGACAAAAAATTATATTTAATAAAATAAATCACAGTTTTTTTAATAAAATGAAATAAACTGATTTCAATAATATTTTTATGAAGCCATGTTTAAAGATTGGGGGGTGGGGGGAAAATCTGTCTTTTCCAGATATCTTTACCCAAGCTACAAAGAAAACAACAGTTGTTCTATAATTTTGTATCTGCAGATAGATAGTATCTATAGATAGCTATTCTGTAGTTTCTAACCAACAGCTCTGTTCTACCTATAAACCAACTCTTCATATACAGTCTTCCTAACAACACCTTGACTTTGAGGTTTACTGTACTCCATCACCTGTGTCTAATATACAAATATCACTATTAATAACTTCAAGTCAAAATATCAACTTACTGATACTATCAATAGTTAAATGTTTGGAAGAATAAATCATCAATTACAACATGAAAGGGTATTGATACAGAGTATGAAATAATACAAAAAATGCTTGTATGTAATGTTAACCAGAATATACAGGAAAATCATGTAGGGAATATATAGGGAAATTAATCTGTATATGCAGTATAATTACAACTTTGTGGAAAAAAATAAAGCCTATATATGTGAAAAAGGAAGAGAAAATATATCAAATTAAACAATGATTTCATTATGCTAGTGAGCCAATAGGTAATTTTTTTCTTGAACTTGTCTATCTTTCATTACTTTCATAGTAGTGAACTAGTATGATTACATTTGTCCACAACTTCCTGAGGGCTAAATCTAAGATGACGTGAAAGGGTTAGAATATGGCACATCATTACTTCTTCCTACAAACACAGTTTGCCTCTTCTTCAAAGTATGACCACAAAGCACCAATCTCATTAAGAACACTCAAGTAGTTTTCTTTAAAGTGAAGAAGTTTCACTTTTGGATTGATACAGAGTACATGTTCACCCTTGTTATGTGTCTTCAACCCTTGTCACTTCACTGACTTTTCCAGATAATGGTGAGTTATAGATGTGTAGATGTCATACTATATTGATAATTTTCAAAATTAAAAATAGGGAATCCTAGCACTCCGGGAGACCGAGGTGGGAGAAGTGCTTGAGCTAAGGAGTTTGAGACCAGCCAGAGTGAGACCCTGCCTCTACTAAAAATAGAAAAATTGGCTGGCATGATGGCGGGTACCTGTAGTCCCAGCCACTCAGGAGCCTGAGGCAGAAGGATTGCTTGAGCCCAGGAGTTTGAGGTTGCTATGAGCCAGGCCAATGCCATAACACTCCAGCCTTAGCAACAGAGTAAGACTCTGTGTCTCAATAAATAAATAAATAAATAGGGATTGTTCACATTTACTGAGAAAGTTCTCTGTATGCAGATCTTTATAGGAGTTTCCTGACAATGACTCATGCAAATGCATATAATCTAATCACAGTTATTATCCAATTTGAATTCCCTCTTCATTTAATATAACCTATTCACTTTTATAGCCCAACCTTCCTTTATTCCACTCTTATCCATACCCTTATCATTCCAAAGTAGTCCAAAAAATAATTTTAGGCTCACATGTCTAACCACGAATGGAGGCTTGCTTCCTGTAGGGATTTTGAAACTATTGCCAAGGTTTGAGTGAGCTGGGGGCTCTTGGAAGAAATGTTTGGGGGAACATGGAGAGGATGCCCGGGAGTTCATGCTTTTAGGAAGTCTGTTGAGATTATTCTCCTTTGACTTCATCTTTATGTTATTTAAGGGTGATATTGGTCCACATGATGTAGATGAAGGCCTTCGTGACTCATCTGTTTCTTCCTAAAGCCAAAAAAGAAGGAATATTTAAAAATAAAAATAAAAAGATGAAAGAAAGGGTAAAAGTTCAGTCAAAACCTAACTGTATTTAATTGGACTTTTAAAAATGATGGTAGAAGACTGAACATCTCAGATGTATAAAATATAAACTTATGAAAGGACATTTCTCTACTTAGTTTTTTCTAGTTCAGCTAAACATCAATAGTATTTATACCTTGCTAGTATATGTCAACTAATGACAGTTGAAATCTATTTATATTAGGAGAAATTTAGAAAGTGCCAGACAATCCCTAGGCATAGATAGGTGATAGATTAAGAGATAGAGAATTTGTCATATACTTGGCTCCAGCAATTTCACTTCAAGAAATTTATAAAAAAGAAATAACTATGGCTATGTGTATAGCTACCACAATGTTTACAATAGTTGAAAAATTAGAAACTAACTGTATTGGAGAGTGAGCAATTGCCTGCCAGCTGCAAACCCACCTCAGCTATATGATACAGGGCCAGGGACTCTGCAAACCAGCTTTTTGCTTTTCTAGCTGGTCCATTAGGTTCTGCCACTAGAGGGCGCTATAAAGACTGTAAGGCTAGAGCAGATGAGACTGGCCACTTCTGCTTTAGCATTCTTTTTTTTTTTTTTTTTTAACATTAGCATCATCCCAACAACCACTCCTCACCTTGGAAGATTCAAATAATGCCAGCTTATAGCTTTTCCCTCCTAATGCCAAAACTAGCTTCACTGCACTCCTTCACACATATCAGCACGAGCCGGACAGAGCCGCCTGCTCAGAGATTTGAGTCTAGCCCCAGATAAAGATCAAGCTTCCTACACACCTCTGTAGTACCTACAGTGAGCAGCACAACCTCCTTAGAGGTCGAAGCCCCGCTCATCAGAGTTACACCTCTGAACACCTGAGGAAGCACCCTGGAAAGCAGCCCCTCTCCAAGGGCCCAGCCCCATTCTGTGTGGTCTCTTTGGCCTTCTATGTTCTTGATAACCCAGCCTGAGAGGTAGAAAATAACTGTCTTCTGCAGTTACTCTGTCACTTCAGTTTTCCCCTTCTGTCTTTTAGTCCTTCAACTCCTGTTTAGCTATATTTTTTTCTCCACATTAAATCTTTCTGTTAAAACAGCAAGTCTGGTTTGATTTCCTACTGTGTTTCCCTGAAAATAAGACCTACCCAAAAAATAAGCCCTAGCAGGATTTCTATGCATTTGTTAAATATAAGCTCTACCCCAATAATAAGACCTAGTGGTGGGCGTGGCTATACAGGGTATCTGCATAGCCATGCCCTGCATGTGGGCCCTGAGCAGTAAGGAAGACTGGAATACCTTTTATTTGCCACAGTTCCTTTCTCCAAGCCATTCGCACTTGTGCAGGTGTGCATGTGGTAACTATGGTTGCAGGCATCCTATTGTGTGAACGCCTAGGGGAAAGGAGTTCACGCATCACTAGCGCCAGACCTACCAACAAGATCAGCTTCCCTGTCAGGTTCCAGAAGAAGATGACTTAACTGTATTTGAATAAACGTACATTGTTGTATTATACTTAATAAAAGTAAGACATCCCCTGAAAATAAGCCCTGGTGTGTCTTCTTGAAAAAAAATAATATAAGACAGTGTCTTATTTTCGGGGAAATACGGTAACTGGACTCTGACTGGTATATCAATTAAGTGCTCAACAAAAGGAAAATGGCCAGATTCTAGTACTTCCATACAATTGGAATACTCTGAAGCCATGAAAAATTGGCTTCATACTACTTAAAGACATGAAACAATGTTCATGACATATTAAATGAAAAAAGGGTACAAAATCACATATAGTGCAGTATGATCCTAATGTTTTTAAGAAGTATACGTGTGTATGTACAGAATCTACTCAAAAAATTAGTCATACTTATCCCTAAATGGTAAGAATAACAGATGGTTTTTATTTTTATTTTGTTCTCTTTATTTTCTAATTTTCTAAAATAAAGTGATACTTTTGCTATAATAAAAAAAAATAAAAGTTATTTGTTTAAAAAGTCAATACTTAAGTGGTGCTCATAGCTCAGTGGGTAGGGCACTGGTCACATACACTGAGGTTCATGGGTTCGAACCTAGCCTGGGCCAGCAAAAACAACAATGACAACTGCAACAACAACAAAATAGCTGGGCATTGTGGGGGGCACCTGTAGTCCCAGTTACTTGGGAGGCTGAGGCAAGAGGATCACTTAAGCCTAAGAGTTTGAGGTTGCTGGGGGCTATGATGCCACGGCACTCTACCTAGGACAACAGCTTGAGGCTCTGTCTCAAAAATAATAATCATCATCATAATAATAACAATTGAAAAAAATTTTTAAAAGTTAACACTTAAAGGAAGATCTAAAACAGGATTAAAAGGAAAGAGTGTGGCTCATTCAATGGTAGTGAGATATCTCACATAATGGTTCGCCCTCAGTTACAGATTGAACTCCTTGTTCTACTCATTCTCCCTTATCACTACTGCACTTGACTAATGTTTAAAAAGAAAAAGGTAGAGAAAGAAAGTCTTAAAAGATCTCTACAAACATATCACAAATAAATTGAAGAGAATAGAGGAGAAAGAAGGAGAAACTAAAAGGCAGCTAATGCCTTTCTTAAAATGAATCACTGGTCTCCCATTATATGAGTTACTATGCCAAAAGAATGGATAGATTTGCACAGATTAGTGGCCTTTCTCAATCAGTCCCCCATAACCCACAGCCCACATTTTCAAGGTATTTTCTAAAACCACAGGTGAGATTTTGGATAAACCCTTCGGATGACCTTTCATATCTACCAAAGATGAACCACAAATACAACTCTGTTAGCCTCAGCAAAAGAAAGAAGGAAACACTATTGTTCCTAAGATCCATAAAAGTCACAAAACAGCAACAAGCACAAAAGCTAACTAGGCTACTTCTTATACATCAAATTTGTGATTTTAGCTTTTGAATCACTCTACTGTAGCAATATACTGTGCTGCCCAACATGTGCGCAAACGTACTCACACTAATGTGATGGGCTGAGGAAACAGACTTGCCAGGTTTTCTATTTGTTCAGTTGCATCTAAACTTGCTAAGTCTGGGCTAAAATTCTTTAAATTTGGAGAAAATTTCTGACATTTTTATCACTTACAAGAAATCTGTTTCTAGGCAGAAACGCACATTCTCTGATGGCTGTCCTTGTAGAAAACTCGATTTTGGGAGCAATGCCCTAAAAATAAAACAGCATAAAAGAAGCAAATAAAATTACTAGAAATAGTTCTTTGTCCATCTATCTCATCCTAACTTGAAATCATGCAAGAATCTACCTGCTCTTATGTGTAGTTGACATAATCCCTACACATTCTACTTGAGGCTGAGGCAAGAGGATTGCTTGAGATCAGGATTTCAAGACCATCCAGGGAAATACAGAAAAAGTTCATCTTGAAAAAAATTCACCAGACATAGTGGTACATGCCTATCATCCCAGCTACTTGGGAGGCTGAGATAGGAGGATCACCTGAGCCCAAGAGTTGAGGCTGCAAGTAAACTATGATGATGCCACTGCACTCCATCCTGGGTGACATAGCAAAAGCCCATATCTATTTAAAACACACACACACACACACACACATTATCTAAAATATAGATAATTTAGGTGGATTTGCACCACCTAAAGTCCTAGAAAGAATGCTGACCACATACTGCATGCTTACTCCATGTGCCGATAAGAAAGCTATACACTTACATAATATATGTTATATTAAGTACCAGACCCAGGTCTTATTTTATATATATTTACTTATCTAATCTAGCACAACCCTATAAAGTAGGGCTTAATAGTATCTCCACTTTGTAGATGACTAAATTAAGACACAGTCTAAGTATCTTGTCCATCTAGCAATAGCAGAGCTGGTACCTGTGATTCTGGATCCAGTGTCCACGCTGTTAGCTACTCTATTTAAAACACTGCATCATGGAATTAAATGAGATTACCTAGGGAGAGGAATAGATACAGGTTCTCATTCCTCACCTACCTGCTTTGAAAAACTTGCTTTATATTTTAATCAAATATTCATGTTTATTAGATCTAATTCCAAACTCAATTTGTTTTATTGATCAATACTTCTATCTTTAGCTCAGTACCAGATGATCTAAAATACAATGATTAATACACACTCACACACACACATACACACAGATCTTATCCTATTTAGTTCTTATAATCCTATGAGACAGGTATGATTATCATCACCATCCTGTTTTGTAGATGATAAAATTGAGAAATGAACAAAACCTGGAAACAGCCCAAATGTTCTTCATGGGTGAAAAAACTATCATACATCTATATAATGGAATCCACTCAGTAATAATAAACAACAAACCCCTGACACACATAACCACATGGATAGATCTCAATGGCATCACTCCTAGTGTGAGAAGCCAGTCTCAAAAGCTTATGATGTATGATTCCAAGACTATGGTTGGCTCACAGGAAGGGTGTGCCTGTAAAGGGGTAACACAAGAGATATTGGGGGGGCAACATAACTATTCTACATCTGATCACGGCAGTGGTTTCACAAATCTATACACATGTTATAATTCATAGACCTGTATACCAAAAAAACACTAATTTTATTGTATGGTAATTTTAAGACTACAATTTTTTTCTTAAGAAACTGAGGCTTAGCAATACATAAAGGAATTTTCCCAAGGAAGGTCACACAGCTTATAAATGGCACAACAAGGACAGGAACTGGATCCGAGTTCCACTGTCTCCTCTGAGCCTGACGCATCAGCTCTACTCTCCCACAGAGAACCACCCTTAGCCAAGTTATTCCTTGTCCCAAGGATGTCTTCCCTTTCTTCTTTCCCCTCCAAATCTTGGTCATTTCTCAAAGTTCGGCCTCACCCAAACTCCTCCAGGTAAGCTCATAGTTCCACAGATCTCTCCTTCCAGTCTCTGATATTTCATTTTCATGTTTATAACTTGTACTCAAAGTGCTTCCAAAAACGATTTGCACCACCTCAAGCCCTAGAAAGAATGTCGACCACATACTGCATGCTTACGCCATGTGCCAAGTGCCATTAGTGGCTTTCCTGGGTGGGCTCTCCCACTGTATCCTCATATACAGAAGGAACCGGCTTGGAGATGTCTGATAGATTGCCCAGTGTCACACAATTGGGCCAGGAGAGCCAAGAATTGAAACTAAGCCAGACCACAAAGCCCATTTCCTTTCCATTACCCCATGCTGCCTCTCCCCAGGCCTAATGGATCAACTGGTCAGCTTGTTTCCTTCATTCCTATGCACCCATCTTGTGTATGCAGCCAGTCCTTATAGGCACAACTAACATTGTTGTGTTTGGGGGTATTTTGTTTTGTTTGCCCCTAGAATGCACAATATTTCCACAAGAGTGCAGTGCCTAGACTCCCAACTCAAGAAAATGATTCTGAGGCTTATAAACATAGGGGCTCAGTTGTTATATAGAGCCAGACAATCCAGAGGGACTGTGATGAAGGACGTACAATAATACACTAGCACAGCCTCATCTACTGTTAACAAGATGACCCACGTGAAGAAGAGGGTAGAGAGAGTTCCAGGGTTCACAGTGCTACTGGTGGATACCACTGGCTTGCAAGACTCTCACATGTGTGCTAAGCCCCATGTCCCCCAAGGGGACACAGTACATACACAGTGGCCTGAGTCTAAATAAGTCATTTCTTGAGCCACAGTTTTCTCATTGCCTCATAGGGAGCCAATACTAACCCTCAGATGATAGCATAATAAATAATAACAGCCCACATTTATTGTGCCCTTATCTATACACCAGATATTGTTATAAACACTATACATATATTATCTCATTTAATGTTCATAATAATCCTATAAGGTATGTACTACTATAGTCCCATTTTACAGATGAGGAAACTAAGGTACATGGAGATTAAAGAATTTACCCAAAGTCACACAGCCATTAATGACAAAACAGATAGGACACAGACAATCTGATTCCCTAACTATCCACAGTATATGCAACTGCCTAATAGGTTTTCAAGTTCCTGACCTCTTTGCCTAAAGAAGAGGAGGGAGGTCTCCTACCAGTAGGGAGTCCATACCCCATAAGACATTCTTGTGTGCCTTAATGACCTCCACCCCTTGCAATGGCTTACAGACCATAAAGAGGAATGTGTTCTCCTTCTCATGCTGTTTTTAGCATAGCATTATTTAGTTCATAGAGATGAAATTTAAAGACGATATCTAATCTCCGTAGCAATGGGATGATAGTGATAATGGTTATGTCAGTAAAAGGACTTAACAGTGCAATTTTTCTAAAATTACTTCCCTAAAGAAAAATAATAAATTATCAACTAAAAATAATTTTCTTAAAGTCCTCTTTCTGCCTGCTTTACAAATTCAGTCTTAACCTGAGAACAGATACTATTTCTCCCCAAAAGAAAATTCTTGTCCAAAAAAGGAGGGAAAACAGAAAAAGACTGTTAAGGTATCGAGAGAAAGCTACAAAATATTAAGATACAAAGAAAAAGTTACATTTTAGTGGAGGAACTAAATCTAATTATTAATGAAGTAATAACTTAAGAGAAAATAAATGGTTTGCCTCCCCTGTACATGCAATTCATGGTCACTTCTTATAATATTAATGAAAAGAAATAGGATAGTGGGCTGAAATAAATGTGAGAAAATTAGCATCATACAGTAAGAGTGCAAACCCGCAGGGCAGCATGAGAATTCCTGTTCCATTACTTACCACCTCTGTGACACTGAGGACATTTCTGAAACCCCCTGCATCCCCATCCATAAAAGGAAGAAAAAACAGTAACCACTTCACAAGATGAAGGAGGACTGAAGATCATCCTTGTAATGAAACTCACATAGTGCCTGGGATACAGTGAGCACACAGGAAACATCAGCTATTATTACAACTATAGTGATTGTTTTATTTTTATTTATAGAACATTTGATCTCAACCTCCTGAGCTCAAGCGATCCTCCCACCGCAGCCTCCCAAAGTGCTAGGATTACATTATTTATAGAACATTTGACAGAAAAGCCCTTCTTTTTATAAATTGTTTAAAATCTAGTTCGATTAATTTAAAGAATCGATACTTTAATATATGGGGATGTTTCCACATATTTTTAAATCCCTTTATCTGATAAGTACCCACATTTATAAGTAAATATAAATACAACTTCCTACAGGTTCTTCATCCCACTTATGCCTATAAAGTTAAGCTGAGAGCACTTGAGAAAATATTAAAAAAGTATGCTGCTCCTTGCCTTTTTGTTTTTTGGAGTCAGAGTCTCAAGCTGTAGCCCTGGGTAGAATGCTGTTGCATCAGAGCTCACAGTAACTTCCAACTTATAGGCTCAAGCAATCCTCTTGCCTCAGTTTTTCTATTTTTTAGTAGCGATGAGGCCTCGCTTTTGCTCAAGCTGGTCTCAAACTCATGAGCTCAAGCAATCCACTCACCTCAGCCTCCCAGAATGCTAGTATTACAGGCAGGAGCCACTGTGCCCGTGTTCCTTGCCTTGATTCCTAGCTGGATACCAGCTTAGTGTTTGTATACAGCTTTTATTTACAGAGAATTCAGGCAAACCAAAATTAATATAGCATCCTCCACTCGATCCTCATCAGTTTTTATTACCTTTTAGCTTCTGAAGAGCAATATCCCAGTAACTCAAAATAATAAAACAAGCATCTCTCATGTACCATAGATACAAGTGATACACAAAAGAAACCTTAGAGAAACAAAATGGTTTCAGTGACATTCACCAAATCCTCACAGATAATGAAGGACTTAAGGTTACAGTCACCAGAAATTCTGGTTAGGACAACCTTGGTTGCTGTTTGAAATCTTAGAATTAGAAACTCTGTCCTTATAAGCATCACAGAAAACAGAGGTCCTGTGCATTATACATCCCGCACAGCACTCTCAAACAAAAGGGAGACAATAATATTTCATCACATAATAATAATTACAATACGTGAGGCAATGACTGCTTTGGTTTGGCTGTTTGGACCCCCCAAATATAATGTCAAAATCTGATCCCCGGGGATGGATTTGGGGCCTGGTGAGAAGGCTTTAGGTCATGAGGGCAGATCCCTCATGAATGGCTTAGAACTCTCCCTGCAATAATGAGTTCTTGCCTTATGTAATAGGTCACAGGAGAGTTGGTTGTTTGAAAAAGCCTGGTACTTCCTGCCCCCATCTCTTGCTCCTGCTCTCACCATGTAACACACCTGCTCTCCCTTTGCCTTTCACCTTGAATGGAAGCCCCATGAAACCCTTACCAGAGGCAGATGCTGATGCCATGCTTCTTGTACAGTCTGCAGAACTGTGAGCCAGATAAACCCCTTTTCTTTATAAACTACCCAGCGTTGGCTCGGCACCTGTGGCTCAAGCGGCTAAGGCACCAGCCACATACACCTGAGCTGGAAGGTTCAAATCCAGCCCAGGCCGCCAAACAACGACGGCTGCAACCAAAAAATAGCCGGGCATTGTGGCAGGTGCCTATAGTCCCAGCTACTTGGGAGGCAGAGGCAGAAGAATCACTTGAGCCCAGGAGTTGGAGGTTGCTGTGAGTTGTGATGCCACAGCACTCTACCCAGGGGGACAGCTTGAGGCTCTGTCTCAAAAAGAAAAAAAAAAAGAAAGAAAGAAAAGAAATAGAAATCATCAAAGATAACATCAGAATGAATGAATCTAGGTTCAGGCAACACCCTTCAAGTAGATTATCAACTGACTATCTGCTGTGTCATTTATGTTCCTTTGGTAACATCAATCCACGAACCTCTGTCAGTTCCCCCTCTGTTAAAGCGGGACTAATCCCTGCCTTGCCTAACTTGAGAATTGTGAGGAGGGAAATCATATGTAAAAAACTGCAAGCACAAAATTAATGAGAGATAACATTACTACCATTGCTTCTTTATTTAATCACAACGGCTATGACAAAACAAACAAGTCTTTCTGTTAATGCGCAGTAAGAGGAGGCTGAACAAACCTTTTTATAACTATTTGACTATGGGAATATGGTAATTATTTAGCCTGATTAGATAATGAGACTTCCCCCTATCAGATCAATAATAGAAATCAGCATACTTTGGTATTTTGAGTTGGGCAGCTAACCAGAACAAGGACACCAACCAAGACTAAGCGAGCTGCCCAAGATCAAACCCTGTCAGGAATATGTGGCCAGGACCCAAGGTCTCTCTCAACAGAGGCCAGGTGGGCACAGATCACTTACTGGAAAACCCATAGCCGTCTTCATGAGCACCTCCCTACACATCCTAGGGTGTGAACGTGTCAGCTTGGGCTCAGGGTAAAGAAAACCCCGTGTGTTTTCTTCATAATAGGCCAACTCTTCCCAGGCTGGAAAGAAAGGGAAAAAAGCATAAGTATGTACACCTCCAAGTTTAACAAAATAAAAGTTTAACAGGTGATGGCAGAGGTAACACTCAAATAAAAATAGACAGTTTTATCCCAGCACCTGTTATTCAAGGGGAGAATAAATGCTACTACTTTTTATCTTATGGATAATTTTTTTTAAGTAGGAAAATCATGGATAATTTTTTAAAGCCTTTCCAAGTTGTAACAGAGATAAAAAGACTAAAGGGCTGCTCCACAAAAAAGAATAAAGAAGAAAATAATCTATCTTTTCGTTATTTCCTTTAATAAATATTTAGTAAAGACAAACTTTAAGCCAGAACCTGGGGTAGAAGAGAAACAAGATACACAAAGGTTACAGCTCAGACTGAGTTCAATGTTTCTGTGACGCAGAGATGTGAATGGCCTAGGGAACAGGTACAGCTGCGGTGCTCAGCAGGTGTGGCACCAACCTCAGACACCAGGATATCTGTGGGGACATTTCATGGGCAGAAGCCTTAAGTCCCACAGTATCCTGCAGTGCTCAAGACACTTCTGCACATCCAACAATGTTCCCCATCCCCAGTGACTTTCTAATGTCTTATGACACATTCTTGAGGACTAAAAACCATTTTAGAATTATCAAAGCCTAGAACCTATGTTACACATGAATACAAAGTATTTTTGCAAGATTTTAAAAAACACTGAATTTTTCAGGAATGCAGGTACCATGTAAATCAGGGAACAATTATATTCCGTTTTGTTTAGATCTTTACCCAGACCTGTGTAGCATTTTGAAAATCATGTCACATATAAATACAGTAGTTCATTTTGTTTAACATTTGCATACAGACATACACATTTTATTATGTACATAAACCCCTTTCCTTCTGTTACTATTTTATATTATAGTTGATATACTGATATTTTGAAAGGATTTAGATAAGTTGATTATATTAACTATAAATAGTATTTTCAATATGGTAAAAGGGACGCTACCAAATACTCATTACCAAAAGATCTTGAGTCTGACAGGATTGACAACTACTGGAAGGATAGAGAAGCTGCCATATGGGCCATCCTCCACCACACAGCAGGTGCCACACAAGCTATTTATAGACAGCAGATCTTGCACAGAGCAACAACAAAAAAAATAACTATAGCCAATGAGGTAGATTTACTGTTTGGTGATGCCATTTTACCTGAGAAAAGTATTCTGATGAGGGTCAGAATTCTGATGTGGCTCACCCCTGTAATCCCAGCACTTGGGAGGCCAAGGCAGGTGGATTGCTTAAGCTCCTGAGTTCAAGAACACCCTGAGCAAGAGCAAGACCCCGTCGTCTCTTAAAGTAGCCAGGCATTGTGGCGAGCACCTGTAGTCCCAGCTACTTAGGAGGCTGAGGCAAGAGGATCACTTGAAACCAAGAGTTTGAGGTTGCTGTGAGCTAAGACACCACAGCACTCTACCAAGGGTGACCAAGTGAGACTCTGTATCAAAAAAAAGAATTTTGGGCTCAGCGCCTGTGGCTCAAGCAGCTAAGGCGCCAGCCACATACACCTAAGGTGGCGGGTTCGAATCCCCAGCCCGGGCCCACCAAACAACGATGGCTGCAACCAAAAAATGGCCAGGCGTTGTGGCGGGCACCTGTGGTCCCAGCTACTTGGGAGGCTGAGGCAGGAGACTCGCTTGAGCCCAGAAGTTGGAGGTTGCTGTGAGCGTGATGCCATGGCACTCTACCCAAGGGGATAGCTTGAGGCTCCATCTAAAAAAAAAAAAAAAGAATTTTGATGAGGCTATTTTTTTTTTTTTTTTTTTTTTTTTGGTGTATCAACTGCAGAAAATAATTGACAGGGCAGCACCTCTGACTCAAAAGGGTAGGACGCCAATCCCATATGCCAGAGGTGGTGGGTTCAAACCCAGCCTTAGCCAAAAAATGGCAATAAGTAAATAAAATAAAAATAAAACTTATCTCCTTTAAAAAAAAAAAGAAAATAATTGATATTACATGAAATAATATGATGGATTAATTTCTTCTTCCTACTTATTCCATTTAATATAAATATTTAATTTCTAATGAGGAAAGCATCAAAGTACAAAATGAAAAAAAAAAAGAAAGTATTGGGCAGCGCCCATAGCCCAGTGGGTAGGGCACTGACCACATACACTGAGGATGGGGGGTCTGAACCCAGCCCGGGCCAGCTAAAACAACAATGCAACTGCAACAAAAACAATAGCTGAGCATTATGGCGGACACCTGTAGTCCCAGCTAACTTGGGAAGTTGACGCAAGAGAATCACTTGAGCCTAAGATTTTGAAGTTGCTGTAAGCTGTGACTCCACATCACTCTACTAGGGGTGACAGATTGAGACTCTGTGTCAAAAAAAAAAAAAAGAAAGTATTCTATATTTTTTGCTACAATAACATTTTTTTATTTCTTTTCTTTATTTCTTTCCACTCTTCCCTTTCAGAGACACTCTAGCCACAAAGCACTGGTGATTGAATCTTCCCTCCGCTGTAATGCACTTCCACAGTGTGTGCTATTCCCTCCTCTCATCCTGCTAAGATCTTGTTCATCTTTCAAGTTTACCCTAAATGCCTTCTATATCTGCACACTTCTGGCATGTTCCTACACATCAGTTCTCCACCTTCTCATCAGAGGAACCAGCACCAGTCACTCAAGCCAAAAATCTAGAATCCATTCTTGATTCTACTCTTTCTCTCACTGCTAATATCAATCTATCAGCAAGTTCTGTTAACTCTATTTCCAAAATAATATAAAGCAGGACAGGGTACACCTTCTCTCCATCTTCACAGTTACCACCCTGGCCCTACCCACACCACCTACCTCTTTCTAGACTATTGCCATGGCCTCCTACGGGCCCTCCTGCTTCCATTTTCCTGCACTCAAATCCATTCTCCACACACTGGAGAAAATGTATCAGGTTGTGCCTTTCTCCTGCTTAAAACCTTCAAATAGGCTTCCCTATTCCCCATGTGAGAATAAAAGCTAAGCCCTTTGCCCCAGCTCACCTTTCCACTTCACCTATTGCCTCCCTCCCCCTTGATCGTTCCCTGCCATGCCCGCTGCTCTTCTTGTCCCTCAAACACACCAAGTTTCCCTCTACATTGGGGATTTAACCCTACCTTTGTGGGTCAAAGACAGACTCTTCCTCCATCAGGAGACTCTGAAGTGCAACCTGAAAATGGAATGTAATATGCCAATTTCCTCACCTACCAGCAAAATACAACTTCCCCCTGAAACCTGTAATACAGAGGTTAAGAACTCAGGTTCTGGGGTCAGACAGGACTGGCTTCAAATCTCTGGCCCACCAGTTAGTTACCAGCTGTGTGATCTGGGCAAATTATGTAAACTCCTTAACATCAGTCTCCTCTTCAAAAACATGTAAAAGTCATCATAATACCTGCCCCTTAGGACTACTGTGAGGACTAATAATAAAAGTGTGCAAAGTGCCAAGCACAGCCCCTGACATTATGCCACTGTCAAGACTGCTCCCTGACGCCAGCCCCGCAGTGCCAGGACTCCTCTGGTTTCTGTGAACACCTTCACGTTCCTGCTGGGAACAAACATCTAGATGTGTGGTTTGATGCTCTACACAGCAGGCTGTTCCTTTTTCCTCTGTCCTTTCATGTAGTTTTGGCTAGCTCTTCTTACTGCATATAAAATGATAGCTACTAAATTATTATTCCTATGTTGAGCAAGAATTTAGATAAAAATTAGAGGTCAGAAAATTGGAAGCAAGCTCATACCTTCCCTTTGGAATCACACGGATAACACAGACTGAAACAGGGTCAAACAAGGAAATGGAAAGCTGTAAACTTCTCAGTACAATCTCCCTAGTTTTGGTCATTTTCTAGAGATCCAAACTGCCACACAGTATGCAAATGTCAGCATACTAAGGGGATGTTACAGTAAGAGCCTGGGTTATAAGTAGTAAATTTATTCACAAGCTCAGCAAATCTCACAGGCCAATTGAAGCATCTGAAAGAACTCAGGGTTCTTAATGGCATAGACAGTGACATCATCAAGGCCATCAGGGAACAACTTTGCCCCCAAAAAGGAATAAATGAGACTTTTAGAGAAATATGCTTCTAATAACAACACTGGCTTGAGAAATATCTCAGATTTATACAGCATATCAGAATTGACAATGAGCTTCTAGATACAGGATCCCACTGGGTTCCCTCTCCACAGATGAGGAAACTGAGGCTCTGAGAGTTTGACACTTGTCCTGATACCAAATGGCTGGTGATGCCACAAGGCAAGTGGGAATCTGAAATCAGATCACGGAGGCAAAGTTTCTTTCCTTGTTGAGGCCTCGTCAGCATCACTATTGATGCTTTGATTAAGTGAATGAGTGCTCACTGACATAGGCTTTTATCACTAGGCCGAACATACACATGCCTTACCCAAAGTGAAGGTCCTTATTTAAGAGGTTAATAAAAAGGCAGCGCCAATCTCACTGACGGAAAGGATTGCGCTGCCCCCCTGTGTCCATTCACTTTTTCCCACCTTTGAAAGCAAAATCATTAGACCTCTTCATACTTTAACAATAAAGCCATATGCAAAGCTGGGTATAATTAATATTACTAACTTACTCATATTACTATTACGTGCATATTAACTTAATGGTAATAAAATATCTTTTGACTTCAACAAGTGTGTTTGAAAGTGATCTGAAAAAAATATCAATATACAGGCAGTCCCCAGGCTGCAAACATCCAAGCTACTTACAACTTGCACTTAGGAATGGAGGCTATTACAGTAATTCCCCAAGCTATAAACATCCAACTGACATATGACTTACACTTACAAACAGAGACTATTACAGGTAATTGTGTCTGTTCCAACTTGCATACAATTCAACTTAATAACAAATCTATCTTGTTCCTAACCCGGGGACTGCCTATAGCAGTATCTACAGCAAAATGAAAATGTAACAATTTCAGCCAACAAAAAGCCGGGTCCCTCATGGGGCTCATGTGC